CGAAAAAAAATTTCTAAAAAATACCATGTATACCATGGAATACCATGGAATACATGGAATTGACTTTTAAAATATTATTTTTTCAAAAATCTCTCTTAAATGAACGGTGAGCTATATATTTGAGACTACAGTTGTGCATTATGACATAAAAGGAATCGGATAGAAATGGTCTCCCAAATACGTTTTTTCGAAAATCGACATTTTTTGATTTCACACCATCGGACCATTCGCACATTTCCTATTATAGTAAAATCCTTTGCAGAGATAGAATAAAGGTGTAATTAGGTTTTTTGTAGCCTGTAATCCGTGCTACATAATACAGTTTAGTATATCGTTTTATCTTTAATCTGTACAAAGTTATGCTTTTTTGAATGGACTTGATCCACTTTTTCGGAAAAATCACAAAAAGTTTTGCCATTCTGCTCAACCTGCCTATGGGCACCTTATATTATTTGTTTTGTGCTAGTCCAGCGACGGGACATTTTTTGCCACCAACATCTAAAAAAATAGTTAATACATGAGCACACTTGGATAAAAGTGGTTAGCCTTTTCAAAACATTTTGAAACATAATTTATTTATCAAATTGAAATATGAAAAAAAAATCCGACCTAGCCCGGCCTGTTGCAATTATGATTCACAGGAAGCGGATTGAAAATTACAGTAATCACTTTTCAAAACCAAAAATAGATATTAGTACAATGGTATTATCATTAATAGAATTAGCTAACTTTTTTGAAAAAATTTGGGAACATTGATTTTTTTTTTCAAATTTAGTTTCCCAATTTCAAAACAAAAATCCCAATTTCAAAACTTTAGTTGAAGATTCGCATATGGTTTTATTAGAGGTGATATAGTAAACCTGAGCAAAAAAGGATCATCTCATAAAACTTATAAAAGTTTTATAACTTGTGCTAAAATGATAAGATATCATTTTTCATGTATACTAACAGAAATCGGCTTAGAAACTTGAAAACTACAGTAATCCCGATTTGAAATCAAAAAGTAATTAATATGTACATGAGAACGCTTGGATGTTATGAATGATAGGATTTTCAACTTCTTGGGAACATTTTAAAACAGTGCGAAAATTCTTGGAATGCAACTATTAAATGCACAATGCTGTTCAAGATATTCTTAGTTTTTGAAACTGTAAAATTTTGAAAATTGCAAAATTCTTTTAAATAAACCCACCTGACCAAAAATGATCCTTGCACTTTTGAAAAAAAAAAGTTCATGTGAAAGATCCACGGGAAAAATCCAACGTGTTGGGTTTTGATCGTGGATGTTTAGCAGGGCGTCACGAAGGCTGAATTTATGTTTTCAATTCAAGGAATTAAGCCAAGCAAAAAGTTGGGGAAATATGGTTTATCTGAAACTGTAATTTTTCGGTAACTTTATATGTTTTTTAAAACTAGTACAGTTCATATATTTTTTTTTAAATCTCTTTCTGTTTTAATTCCATGACATTTAACTGCAGAAAAACTTTCAGACATTACGAGGTTAGAATTCAGTCAATTTTTCAATTGGACTATTAAATTAAATATAATTTTGTTGAAATTAGTGAATCGGTTTACTTTAAAAAAAACGCGGAATTCTAATTTTTCTGACTAGTGAAAATTTTTAGTAACTGCTATACATTGATTTCGAAAACTTTAATCTTGTCAAACCAAACTAACGAAACAGAAAAAAATTTTCCTGCTCCATCAGTATTAGATATCTTGATAATTTTTTACTTCTTAATCACATTTTGGAATTTCGAGTGAAAAAGTCAACTTTGGGGTCCTGAAAAAGAATTTCATAATTTTTCGAATTGTCTGAAATTTCAGATTATACGAAAAAAAATCAAAGTTTCAATTTTGAAGTTGACAACTTTTTTGTCTAATTCCGTTCAGGTGGGATACGGGGTTTGAGTTGTGCATTCTTAAAACCGCTAACTGGGTTTCTACAAAAATGTTGCCAAAAACAAAGCTGAACCTCTATTTTTGTTTCATATGCTCTAAAATTTTCAGAAAAATCGAGACATTTTGGACTATTTTTCTGGCCTTTAAAGTTGACTGGAAAAAGTCAAAATAAATTTTTGTACGATGACGTCACTAGG